TAGATAAAATAGAATCAATAGTTAGTATATATATATATATATATATATTATTTTACTCAAAAAATATAATAGTGGAAAAAAATTAATATAAAAGATAAGAATATATAATTAGAATATAAGTATAATTTATACCTATATATAAAAGAAGTTTCTTATTTTAGTGTATACGTTATTGTTGACAAATTTAACCTTTAAAAAATTGCACAATAATAATTAATAAATGTAAAAAAATCCTTTATTTTTGAATCTTTTGATAAATGGCTCACTACTTTTACTAATGTGTGTATATTTAAAGAAAAATAGAATAATTTTTATCCACCAATAATATAAAAAGGGATATACCTCTTTGGTGTCTATTTTTTGAAAGATATTTATAAGATAGAAGTATAAATATTTTTCGGAAAATGGACACAAAAGATATATATATATATATATATATATATATATCATTATAATTATTATATTACAAATTATATAATTATATAATCTATAATATTATTATATGAGTAGCATATGATGAGCCTTCTAGTTGCTACACTTGGTTGAAGTTGATATTGTCAATTGTAATCCTTTTGATTCCTTTAAGATGAAGCGTTTTATTTAAAGTCATTTCCTACAAGTATTTGTCTTAACCAAAAAATTATAAACAACAAAGTTTAACTCTCAAGTGGCAAGGCATCTAATTAAGAATTAAATAATTTGGCCAACTATAGTCAATTAAAACGAGTATGTCAAGATTAAATCTTTTCTCTTTGGATAAATCAAAGGCCTTTTTTTAATCATGTTTTTCAATTTCTTTTAATATTAAAGAAACTTTTAATCAAACGGAAATAACTCTTACAATCTATCATTTTATTCATTAGACATAGAGGTATGAAGTACCTTGATTTCATTATAATTGGATAGCAAATCTTATATTAGTGTGAAAATTTGATAATAACAAAATAAAAGAAGAAAAAGTAGTACCTTATATTTGACAAACATTGCCAAGTAAGAAGAAAATTAAACAAAGAAAGTGGGAGGTAAATTAGATAGAGTGAAGATATAATATTTAGAGAGTAGAAGATAAATGTATGATAGAAAGAAATTAACACGTAAAATGAATTATCAAATCACAAATTATGTGTAATCAAAATTGAGAAAAAAGATGAAGAAAAAATAGTATCTTTCTAATGATGACTGTAGTGTGATGAAAATAGACAATTGAGGAATTGGAATCATGTGTAATCAAAATTGAGAATAAAAAAGATGAAGAAAAAAATAGTACATTTTTTATGATGATAATGATTGTAACAAGATGAAAATTAGACGATAGAGGAGAGTGAATTGAAAAAAAAAAGATGAATTAAAAAATAATACCCTTTTGATGATGATGATTATAGTGAGATGAAAATTAGACAATAGAGGAGTGAGAATTATATGTAATCAAAATTAAGAAAAAAGACAAAAAAAATAGTACTTTTTGATGATGATGATTGTAATGGGATGAAAGTTAAACAATAAAAAAATGAAAATATTTAATTGACGTATTGCATGTTCGAGGAACAATTGATAAACATGCTTACCAGACAGTTAAGTTTCAAGTGCAAAGTTTAATGAGTCAAGACGCAAGCTGGAAGCCTAAGGAAGATTATTAAATATGCAAAACTTAAAAAAATAAAATAGTCTTTGCAGTAGATAATGTTTTGATGTAATTATAGTGAGTAATGTCTTATGAAATATTTGTTTTTTTGAGCAAAATTGTACACCTAATGATAGCAAGTACATGTATTTTGTTGTCAACATGCATGCCTTTGATGTATGTCTGCTATCTTTTGTGTATTTCTCTTAAATATCAATGAAAACATGTAGAACACCTAGCAATATACATGGTTGTGCAGCAAAAACGAAAATAGCCATGCTCTTCCATTCTCTTTTCTCTAGCAATATACATGGTTTACCATGTTTCATGGTTTTGCTGTTATTGTATGTTTCAACAAAAGCAAAGGCTTTGTATGCTTGGACTTCTCTTGAGAACATATACATGAATTTGTTTTCTCTAGTGCGGGTAACGAGTGTTTTTGGATTAATTGATTTTTTGGAAAATTATTTATTTTTTTGTCAATTTCTTAATATACATTTAATGAAAGATACTTGTTTTTCTGAAATAAGCAGTTGCATGTATGTTATATAAGCAATATCCCAAACTTTACTTCCCAACTGAAAATGTAAAATTATTAGTTTATTACAGCAACTCAGTAAAAGTTAATTATATCATATGCGCCTACACATGCAAAGCTTCTTGTTCTTGTGACATAATTAGAGAGTAAAGGGGGTCTAACTTAGGGGAAAAAACTATTTAAGCTCAATAATATTGGAGATTTTATCCACAGTAGACTAGCCACTTGACTAGCTCAACCACTCTATGGAATGTTCTTTCCTCAGATCAATCTCTTCAAGTTCCTTCTTATTTCTTCGGAATGGTTAATAGTAGGATAGGACTTAGCTACAGTTCTATAGGTGTGGTTGGTGCTGTTGTTCAATTCGAAATGGAAATTTATGCATAAATGTGTATTAATTTGATCTGCATTAAATGCAAATGCATATTATCGAGATAAATTTCCAATTCTAATTGGAGAACATTACCAACCACACTTAAGAACTATTCCTATGTTTTATCCTTAATAGTATTGAACAATGCGGATAATGGAAAGAAAGCATAACAAATCAAAGGTTTTCATGATGATGCTATTCCAGCCAAAAGTTCTGGAGACCCTGCCAAGTGTCCTGCTGGCACGTGTTGCCTTATCTCTTCAAAAGCACACAAAGTTTCTGCATCCAAACCTCCAGCAATCTACAAAACATACGAAAATAAGTGAATCAACTAAGTAAATGATGAAAATTGTAAGAATATTTCCTATTGTGAGAAGACACTGATACTTTTTTGCTTTTTATAAAAATGAGTTGATGGTTGGAATGATCCACTTAATTGTTTAGACTCATTACAACACCTAATCGGATTGATATACTAGGTGACTACAGTGTAGGTTCAATCCTTAGCATCTTGTGATGGGAGAAACTGCTAGAGTAGATATTGTTATTTATACAAGTTAGCTCTAGTGTTTTACCTAGTGAGAGTAGTTCATTGCTGTTAGATGCGGTGTTCTATAATCATACATGGTGCCCCAATTTGATTACAAAGAATGAATATTTCATTTTTATCTAGTTGGGTATCTTTCTTTTTCATCCTAATGATATGCAATGTCAAATTTGTAATTTGTATACGTGTTATAATTTTATGCTGGAGTGACAATGATCTTCTGTAAAAATGTTAATAAATTGAGTATATAACACTAATACTCCCTAAAGTCTCGTGAACTTGCACATAACCACTCTACTTTTTAATGTTTACAACAATCTCCCTTACAGGAGAAACAGTGCTATGTTTTTCAAACAATTAAGGGAGATTTGTGTGATGTCAAAGGGATGTTAATTTAATCTTTTCAAACAGTCAAAGGGGTAGTGTAGGGATAGAAAAAAATAGGGGGTATACATACAATTTTCCAAAAGTGGAATTTAAAGTTTGTTTGGATACAAGTTTGAAGTGCTTCTAAGAGTTTCTCTAATGAGAAATACTCTCTATGTTTAGTAGAGAAACTTTCAGAAACACTTTTAAACTTGTATCCAAATAGTTTCTTACTCCAGTAAATTCAAAGGCATGAGATGATCAAAGCATTCTACACTTTCCAAAACTTCCAACATGATTACTAAGTTAGCAATGGATGAAACAGCAATCTAGTAGTAGTAAAAAGCCTACTGGTGTTTGTTGCTGTGAAGGGCTTCAATTTATGATGATGCCCTCTTGGCCTCTAACATGACATTTCTAAAGATTTGCAACTAACTGAAACATATGTTGGGAAATTATTATTAATGACACTTAATTGACAAGAAAATCTGCAGAGTCTTGCAGACAGTTGTGTAAGAAATACCTGATGAGCTCTATATGCAAAATGCATGCCCTGAAGCAGAAGGGATTCTTGACTAGATTGTCTGTCTGAGTTCCGAGCAGATCCAAGCTCCATTCTCAATCTTTTCATGTACATCTTGACCAAAAGCATAGAAGCCTGCTTAATCTGCAGATATGGCATATTTATTAGTCATCAAATAAAGTTTTACTAATACAAATTGGAAATTTAGCTTTCAATTCTCAAAGATATACATAATGCTTAAGTGGGTAATCAATTACCATGGATTTGGATTAACACATCCTAAACCAAAGTATATCCTTCATCCAATTAGTTATGTTGATCTCAGTGCTTCATTTCATTTTAATTGAGTAAATCAAGATTGAAAGTAATTAATATATCGTGTAGGGAAGTAGTAAAT